TCTTGTGGCAACTGGAACACAGGAACATACATACTTAAAAAATTTCTGGAAGAGGAAAGTTTGCTATGTAAATCTAATTGGGATAAGTTAGCTGGAAAAATATTCCCTATCTGTTTAACCAAAGAAATTCCTTTATTCCTCTTCGTGCTCCTTGCAACTTTAAAAAAGAGCTGACTACTTAAAATTTTTTAAAGCAAGTACCTTATATTGAACCAAGATCATGAATGCCAAGTTTTTGGCTGGTTAAGTTCTTTTCAACTGTCAGCTCACAAACCCCTGAAAATAGGGGTTTCAAATGGAAAGCTTGACAGACTTCAGACTTCCAATAAAACAGATATAACTGGGCAGTCAACGCCACTCTGCAAGTTGTTTTAAAAATGATTTCATCTGGCAAACTAAAAAAACTATTCACTTATTTGTAGAATGTTTTACAATGAAAAACAGTTCTCGCACCAAGTCTTTTTCTTATATGGTAGAAATAGTAATAAAAAAACAACATACCTATTCCTTTAAACACATTACAATGTTCTATTTATCACTATTATCATCAACCTATAACTGCATTTTGATTTGTTTATACAGTCTCTAAATTTACATCTTTGTATATTAGGGAAATGAAGTATTTGGCTTTCTCAAAAACATATCAAATTAGAGAATCTTACAATCGTATATTTTCCTCTTACTTAAAAGAAAACCCAGAAATGTGAATTTGCACAAGGAAAGAAACAATAAATATGAAGTTCTAATCTCTATTTATGGCACATCACATCATTTACAAAAAATAATCTGTGAGGAGAAAAAAAGACCTAAATGTAGAATATCAAATTATAAAGCTTGATTAAAAAAAAAAAAAAAACAAAACTGTGAGTGAATATTTTTGTGACCTGAGGTTGGGCAAAGATTTCTTAGGACACAGAAAGCAAAACCATGGACAGGAAAATGGTAATGATTTCATAAATTTAACAACTTCTATTCAATAGAAGACATCATTAAGAAAATCAACATGCAAGCCACAAAATAAGAAAAGATATTCACAATACGAGCACTTCAAATAATTTATACCAGATTATTCAAAGAAATTCTACAATTTACTAGTAAAAAGAAAATTTTTTAAAAGTCGGTAAGAGTTGAACACTCTTCACATGCCAAAAACTATATTAATGGCCAATCAGCATACGAAAAAAGTATTAATCTTGTTCCAGTAGGTATCTAGTCAGATATGAACAGAGCAGGAGAGGGCCCACCCCACCAGGAATGTCAGGCGACCACCGGGTGATGGTCAGGCAGTTAACCCTCTCTCTAAAATAACTGGTTGCAGCCAGCGCCAGGGAAAGGCAGTTTACCAATAGATAGAAACACTTGAAACTGGTGATCAACAGCTTCCCGATAAGATCTCAGGAGGTGGGTGAATGGGCTCAAGCATACACACTAAAAAGCAAAATGGCAGCGTTTAACTTCAACGGGTAAAAGGAAGAATGCCTCATGTGAGCATGTGTTTAATACCAGTAAACACATTGCGCATGCTCACTTCCCAAGCGCTAGGACCCTGTGCATGCAGGCAGCCTGTCCCAAAGGAAGAATCAAGAGGAAAGAGACACAAGATCCCGGAAGTATGCCAACATATAAAACCCTAAGTCCATGATCAAATGGGACACTTACCTTTCAAGATGCCCATTTGGCCCTCTTCCAAGTGTACTTTACTTACTTTTCATCATTACTCTAAAGCTTTTTAATAAACTCACTCCTGCTCTAAAACTTGCCTTGGTCTCCTCTTCTGCCTTACGCCCCTCAAATTATTTCTTCTGAGGAGGTAAGAATTAAGATTGCTGCAGACCTGTACAGATGCACCGCCAGTAATTCAGATACCCACCACTGATAACAATCTCATTAATAACTGAGGAAATGCAAATTACAGCCATATCACTCACATCCACAAGAATGACTAAGCTGATAAAACCAGATGTTGGTGAGGATATGGAGTAGCCAGAACTCTCATGATTGGCAATGGGAGCACAAAGTGGTACAATTTCTATGGAATATGTTTGCAGTTTTTTTTTTTTTTACAAAGTTAAGCATACATCTACCCTATGAACCAGCAATTCCACTTACAGGTATTTACTCAAGAGAAATTAAAAATATATACACTTGTACCTAAATGTTCACAGCAGCTTTATTTACAATAGTCATAAAATGAAACAACTCAAATGTACATCACAGAAGAATGGATAAATAAGCTCTGGTATTTTCATACAATGGAATACTACTCAGCCATAAAAAGAATGAACTACTCATTCACAAAACAGTGAGGATGCATCTCACAAATATTGAGCCAAAAAAGATACTAGACACAAAAGAATATACACTGTATGATTCTACTCATACCAAGTTCTAAACCAAACCAAACTAAACTATAATAGAAAAAAAAAAATCAGAAAAGCAGTTCTCAGTGGTAGATGGCATTATTATTAACCAGAAAAAAGAATCAGGAAGCTTTTGGTGATGGAAACTTTCTAAGCTTTGATAGGGATCTGGATTATGAGAGTTTACATATTTTCAAAACTCATCCAAATGTTCCCTTTAGGTTTACCATTTTGTTATAATTAAATTTTACCTTGAAAACTATAAACACTGAATTCTATCTAGTTAGCAGATTTGCTTATCCAGTGTTATAGATTAGCAAGTCAGAAACCACTTTCTGTGTTTTACTGGCTTGAGGAAAGGAGTAAATACATTGAAGAGAATGAATGAATGAATCAATCAATGAGCAAATGACTAAATAGCAGTACTGGAACAAACTGACATTACGTGTCTCCTGATATGATAAACAGTGAGGAATACAACATTTGTGTGTCATTCCTGCAAAAAAATGCATAGCCTACATCTATTCATGAGTCATCAGACAATCCTCTCCCCCCCAAAAAAGTTCTACAAAATAGCCATCCTCCTTGCTTCAAAAACGTCAGAATCAGGACAAAGAAAGATCATGGAATTGCTTCAGTTTAAAAGAGACTAAAGACAATTTAAAGCAATGCATGATTTTGGATTGTATCATGAACTGGGAAAAAACAGTTATGAAAGACATTATTGGGACAACTGACAAAATCTGACTGTAGATCATGAGTTAGGCTATTACCTAATTACAAAAATATTTAAATCCTCATTTTAATAATTTTACCGTGGTTTTGTAAGAGAAAGTTATCATGTTCTTAAGGTACTCACAGAAGGGTTATGGGATAGAGGGTCACAATCTTTCCAACTTATTCTCAAATGATTCAGGAAAAAACTGAATATAAAGGTAGACAAAATATGATAAAGCAAATGGGGCAAACTGTACACAGTTGTTGAATCTAGGTAAAGGATATATGGGATATATATAAATTTCCCGTACTGTTGCAAATTTCTGTAGGTTTGAAATTATACTGAAACAAAACAATACACAAGTAAATATTTTTAAATTTTACAACCTCTTCCTTTGAGTCTATAATATAGATTTTTATAATTAATACTGTAATGTTTCCTCTTTGAGAGTATCTTTCTAGCAGTATAACAAAATACCTTGTTTCACAGACTTTATGAGGAAAAGAAGTTAATCGAGATGACCCTATTAAGATATCTCAGTGGAAAATTAAATTAGAGCTATAATTTTGAGAAAAGCGCTAAGTGGGAATAGAATTTGAGTCCTGAAATCCACATTGTAAAATTGAGAGACTCAATGTTAAATGAGAAAATATTCTTATATACCAAGTGGTAAGGTTAAAGGTAACAAGGATTATGGTAGTTTCTCACCCCCAACTCAATTGTTTTGAAAAACTAACACAACTCTTTTTACCGACCATAAGCTTCCCTATTTAATTCAGGAATATGGAGATGGAAAATATTAAATGCCAGGAAAAGAATCAAATAAAATTAGAAGGTAGAAAGAACCAAAGACTGAGGAAGTGACACACTATACGAAGCAAAAGTCAAAGAAATAAAGGTGAAGATTCAGATCTCTCACAGCTAGCTAAAATTTGACAAGTGCTCAAAATTATCTCTGATTATTAATGAAAGCCTAACATCATTTATGTTAGTTATTTCTCCAAGCTTTATCTTTAATCTGACTTTAAAACAATAACTTGACACTTCGTTTTCTGAATTTTCTCAAATATATATATAATGAATTTAGGAATTTTAAAGAAAATGTTCACGGAATGTATAATCTCTTAGAAACTATACTAGAACCACTGGATTACTACAATAATTAAGAATTAAGAATTCTACTATAAAAGTTGGCTGCTGATTGAAATGTCAGAACGAGAACATTTCTGCCACCTCCAAGAGTAACTGATTACTTTTATATATTTTTAAATAATATTTAAAGCACAGCTTTAAGAATCATTCTGTTTGCTATATCAAAATGACATTTAAATTCTCTGAATAAATATGCAACTACTTAAATTCACAGAGAGTCATATTTCAAATAGTTAGTGATCACCAATCAGGCACTATATTAGGACTAGAGGAACAACAGCCACCAGACACTGTCCCTGCCTTTTGGAACTTTCCATTATCAGGAAAGGATTACATTAGGAAGGGGAAAATGTAAGGTGTTAGGGAAGTGTATAGCAAAGGGATTTTCATGAAGTATAAAGTGTAAAGGATGGAGCCAATTTTTTTTGAGACTCTCATGATCTACAGTCAATTCTGCCATATAATATGAATTCCTTAAAAATCTCTGCACAAAGCAAAATAGCACACTAAAACCACAGGGCTTATGGGGAGGATGGAGTTAGGAGATTAACAGTCAGAAACTTTACAATGACATGTAAGATAAGACACTAATAAAAACTGTAGCACCATCCTGAATGGCTAACAAACACATAAATGGGGTGTTGCTGATTTTTGTTTTGTTTTGTTTTACTGCAAGTTTGCTTGTGAAAGCAGGCATCAGAATGGTTGCAGCTTTTGATTTTTTCTGAGGTGTTAGAAGGAGCGTTACCTGAAATTGCAAGCACAGGTGTTAACACCACAGGTGGGCAGGTGTGGCTTGTAACATGTGGAGGACTTAGGCAGCTGGTAGTTGTTTGAGATGTATGCATTTTGAGTATTCCTGTGTGGCTTGCTTCAGCTAGGTACAGTTGTTTTTGTTTTTGAGACAGAGCCTTGCTCTGTCTCCCAGGCTGGAGTGCACTGGCAGGATCTCAGCTCACTACAACCTCTACCTCCCGGGTTCAAGCAATTCTCCTGCCTCAGCCTCCTGACAGCTGGGATTACAGGCATGTACCACCACACCTGGCTAATTTTTGCATTTTTGTACAGATGGGGTTTCACCATGTTGGCCAGGCTGGTCTCAAACTCCTGGCCTCAGGTGATCTGCCTCGGTCTCCCAAAATGCTGAGATCACAGATGTGAGCCATTGTGCCTGGCCCTGAATCGTTTTCTGTATTCAGTTAGTGATTCTCACAGACAAATGGCATGTAAGTCAACACAAAATTCACACAAATCTGTTTTCAAAGCAAGCATTACAGCACAACCAACTATATTTTCTCTCCTGTTCCACATAGCTGGTGTGATAAAAACCAGGTAAAAATCAACAAAAGACCCTACCATTACAAGTCACAATAAAAACAGGGAAAATGGCTCTTATCCTTAGTAAATTCAGCTCTTTCATTCAAACATTTGTACATTTTTCTTTTCTTCCTCCTCTCTTAATCTAGAAAAACAAGAAACAGGTTCTAACTCAGATGTGAGCATAAAGAAACAGGCCCCCCAAAAAACAATGCAACACATCTGCTTCCAGACCAGTGCTTCTCACATTATAACGTGTAAACGAATTACCGGGAGATCTTATTAAGTTGTAGATTTCAGCCGGGCGTGGTGGCTCACGCCTGTAATCCAAGCACCTTGGAGGCCAAGGTGGGCGGATCACCTGAGGTCGGCAGTTCAAGACCAGCCTGGCCAACATGGTGAAACCCCATTTAAAAAAAAAAAAAAGATGCAGATTTCAATTTACTACTTGTGGAGTAAGGCCTGAGATTCTACATTTCTAAGCTCCTAGGTGATAACTATGCTACTGGTCCATGGACCAAACTGTGAATAATAGGCTATAGATAGAACCTTAAACTAAAAGAACTGAAGTTCTCAAGGCTCTTCTATAATTTCGTCAAGTTCACCAAAAGAGAAAACTGTATCAAGATTTCAGGACAAAATGAGAACATTTGTCTGAAATGTTCTGTGAGATTGCAGAGGCCTATGCAGTGCTCATGACAGTGTGCTAAGAAAGAATCAAAGATATAGCAAACCCTGCCAAACCTCCTTGAAGAAAAGGATTATATCTATAGCATATAAATAAAGCACAATAAAAAAGTCCAACAATCTTCTGCACTTACATTCTTATCAGTGAGCATATACATATACAATGTTATACACACACACACACACACACACACACAACTGTAAAGTACAAAATGGAAGGAAAAAAGGCAAATGCTAATGACCATCAATAGAAAAGTGACTAAATAAATCATAGTATATACACATACATACATACCTACAAAAAGAAACATACATATATTTATACATGCTACAAAGACACACTTGCTTTTATAACAGTGATTACTTGTGGGGAGTACAGCTAAGAAATCATCTTAGACCTTTAGTTGTAATTTTTAGCCATGACTATATACTACATTCATAATAATGACAAGAAAAAAAATGTAAGAGAGAAATTTATATGGAAAGGAATCCAAGAGATAAAATATCAAAACAAAACATACCATAAAAAGTAGACTATGATATCCTACTTTTATTAAAAATAATGATTAATATATCAGTATTTACATGGTAGAATCATATGCATCAAGAGAAAATGTGTTATTATTTTCTTTTAGGGTAGAATTTCATTTTTTATACTATTAATTTCTATCATATATGAAATTTTGTAAGTATGTGTTTTCATTCCTTTTGAAAGCAGAAAAATTAAATAAAAATACATATATTTAAAATCTATCCACAGCAAGAACAAAAGCCTAACACTAATCTACAGAATCAGAATTACAGAACAGAGAACGGGACAAGTCATCACAGACCAATTTCACTAAGTCTATCATATTATAAATAATCCATCAAAGCCAGACAAAAGGCACTTGTCCCTTACAAGTTAACAGCAAAAAAAGAAAAAGTCAGGTATATCCTAATTTCCAGTTCAGGATTCCATGACCTGCTTAAATTAGCATATTCTAAACCATGATCCATAGAACATAATTGAGAAATTCAGGCTTAAAGAGCATAGTTGTGGCACTAAATCTTAGATATTCTAGTGGGAATATCTAAGATATTCACATTACTAGCTATCTCAAGTTCTAGTGTGAACATAACATCCAAGTTATAGCCTAGTGGGTAAAACAGTCATTGATTAATAATTTCTGTAGTATCACAAGTGCTTAGCAAATTGTAAGCACACAACAAATATTTGTTGAATTAATTAATAAAAAGAGAGATCTAAAATAAAATTACTGAACTTCAGACTAGTAATGAGAAAGTCAGTAAGCACCTATCTAGTTTTATATTATCTTTGATACCATGAAGAGCACATCAAATTACAGATCATGGGTGAGGAAGCAGTTAAATGCACTACAGGGAGTCATTTTCCCTATACCAAGTAATTTTTTGTTTCTTAAAGGATATGGACAGAATATTGAAAGAGGAAAAAAGAACTGTGTGAAACAGGAAGAGGATAAGGAGAAGGCAAGAAATACTACAAAAATTGTTAGAGCCATTTTCTTCCCAGAAATGCCAATTTTGTAGATGTACAAACTATTATCTGGCCTGTTCAAGTTTTTTATAATTATTACCTTTAACACTAGCATCACAATTTAGGGAAAATTTTAAAGCATAAAGAGATATCTATAAACTCTTAACAAGCCTTATATGTTCTTTAATGAATATATACTCAGAAAATAAATATTCTCGTAACCTGAAATAAATATCAACATTGGACATCTGATAAATAATCAAGCAACTGGTTCTAAGGTAGACATAGCTAAGTACCAAAAATAGAATTCCAGAGAGAGATTAGGAATATTTTCTTATTATAAGATACATGCACTATCTGTAAAATGATATAGTGTTACTTGAAAGTGGACTTAAATTAATTGTAAATGTATACTGCAAACTGAAAGGCAAACAATTTAAAAAGCTTAAAAAAAAAGATAACTGACATGCTAAGAAACAAAAGAAAATGGAGTGAAACAAAATGCTCAATTAAAACCAGAAAAGATAGAAAAAAAGTGGAACACATGTAAGAAAAATAGAATAAAGGCAATGAATACAAATAGGCAGTAATATGGCAGATATTAATAATCCAAATATATCAGTAATCACTTTCACACATCAATAATCTAAATCCACTTAAAAATAGAGATTGTCAGAGTAAATCACAAAACAAAATCTAACTATATGTTATCTGTAAGAAATACATTTAAAGTATAAAGACACATATAGATTAAAAGTAAATGGAGACAGCTATACCATGCTAACACAAATCAAAAGCTGGAGTCACTATATTAATTTTAACACAGCAGACTACAGAGAAAGAAAAGTTATCAGGGGTAAAGAAAGGATAAAGGAGTCAATTCTCCAAGAAAACGTAGCAATCCTTAATGCGTATGTACTTAACAAAAGAGCACCAAGAGACAGGAATTAAAAATTAAGAGATGCAACGAGAAATACATGAATCGACTGTTATAGTTGGAAATTTTAACAGCCCTCTTAACAGAAATGGACAGATCCAGTGGGCAGAAAAACCAATGAGAATATAGTTGACCTCCACAGCACCATTGATTTACTGGATATATCTGATGTCTATAGACTATTTCATTCAACAACAGCAGAACACACATTCCTCTCAAGCTCACATGGAACATTCATCAAGATAGGCCACATTCTACGTCATAAAACACACCTTTACAAATTTAAAATAGAAATCATACAATGTCTGCTCTCAGACTACACCACAATTAAACTAGAAATCAACAATATAAAGAAAGCTGATAAATCCTCAAACACATAAAGATAAAGCAACACACTTTCAAGTAACACATGTTATCAAAGAAATCTCAAGAGAAAGTTAAATATATTTC